TTCCTGCTGCTTCTGTTCAGGGTGAGCCAAACCCCACCGGAGACAATAGAGTGCAAAGCCATCTAGAAGCTGCTGCTCAACCTTCCAGTGCCCACCACAGTGGGCACCTCCCCCGTGCGGGGACCTTAGAACTTGGCACATTTGCCGGAGCGTGACTCACCTCTGGGAGGCCACAGCGCTGCGAACCCTCAGTTATACAGGTGTGTGTTACTTGACAGGTTCAGCCAGATGCAAGCAGGTAGTTCTGCCATGCTGGAGGGGACCAGACTCCCCAGTCACTGTGGGTACCTCCTGTGGTGGTGCCAGGGCTGCCACTGCAGGTGCAGCCCCATACCCAGAGGCACAGCAGGGCTCTTACTTCTTGCTGCCAGGCTGTAAGTGCTGTCGCAGCATTTGTGCAGGCACAGTTCCCCACCTCTGCACTCTGGTGAGGGAGTGGGCTGTTGCTGCAGCCCGCTGCCGTTCTGTGGCTGGTTTGTGCTGCACTCCAGGTGGGTGCCTGGTTCCTGGCCAGGGGCCTCTGAGATGCCCCACAGCTGCACACACTTGCACTTGCAAACCCAGTTGTTCTTGACTCCCTGGCAAGACATCAAGCCTGTATCCTTTCCCAGCAGCTGTGCCCATCACAGCAGTTCCAGAAGGCTGTAAACTGCAGGAGAAGACTCAAGTATTGCCTCCAGCCCTGCATGACATGCAGTGGCAGCACTGCCAGCCCAGCCTGATCCCAAGGAGTTGGGGGACAGTTTGGTTGGGGGTACCCACCCTATTTGTCACTGTGCCCTGGGGCAAAATACCCTCATTGGGGCAGGTACAGCATCTATACACATGTACACACAGAACGTGGTCCACTTACAACCTAGGCACAGCAGTTGTCTCAGCAAAGCATCAATCTCAAAATGTGCCTGTATCCTTCACTCCCATCCTAGGAGCAATGCCTGTCCCTGTGCTGCACCCACACTGAAGCAACATCCCAGTCTGAAGGGACTGGAAAACCTGGGCAGTTAAAAACTGGGGTGGGGGCTGCACCTTGTCAGCCTGAGCTTCACGTAGGTTACAGTTCTGGCAGTCCAGGACCAGCAGCACGAGGTCCTGGTGGGCTGTCTGGCATCTCTTGCTCTCCCCAGGGCCTCTCAGAGGCTGGGGAGATTGCTCATCATGCTGGAATTGCTGGACAGAGGTGCTCTGGGACGGGCGTTCAGTGCTACAGAGCTGCGGAAGCTCTCCCGGTAGCGGAGGGAACTCTCTGTGGATGAGCCAGAGTTGATGTCTGTGATGAACAAGCAGTTCCCAGGTTTGCAAAGCCCAACCCTGACACAGCAGCAGCACATGAGGCTGCCCACAGCACGGCGCACCTCCACGCTCCGGAGGGAGTAAATGATGGGGTTAACACCTGAGTTAAGCATGGCCACAGCCAAGGTCCAGTCCAGGTTGTGGAGGTATGTGCAGGTCTGGCTCTCGCAGAAGACATCAAGGAGCAACAGGACAAAGAGTGGGCTCCAGCAGAGGATGAAGACACCCAGGATCATCAGCACAGTCTTGAGCAAGCGCAGTGACCGTTTGCGGCTGTGCCGAGAACTGATTTGCTTAGAACTGGCCTGGACTAGCTGGAAGATGGAGATGTAGAGGCCGATGATCCCCAGGAGGATGATGCTGAACATGACTACGGAGAAAAGGATGTAGTTCTTGGAGTAGAGAGGCAGGAGGACAGAGCAGGCATTGAAGTCGCACAGACAGTTCCAGCCCAGCAGCGGAAGCAGTCCAATGATGAAGGCCAGCAGCCAGCAGGAGATGATCAGGCTGCGTAAGCGCAGGGTCTTGCTGGCTTCATTCTCAGCAATTGGCCTTACCATGGCACTGTAGCGCTCAATGGCAGTCACAAGCAAGCTGAAGGTGGAGGCAGCTAGCGCAATGAAGAGGATGCCTTCCCGCAGGAACCAGAGCTGAGGTGAAAGCTGGAAGGTCTTCTTGCCTGAGAGGCAGAGATTAGAAAGGTAGGCAATTCCTGCAAGCAGGTCGCTTACGGTGATGCTGGCAATGCAGGAGTAGACCCAGCGGCGAGCTCGCAGACACCGCAGGATGGCCAGCAGCACAAGCAGGTTCTCCAGGATGATGATGCAGCTGACAATGGCAAAGGCTGTGCGGATGAGACCCATGCCCTCATCCCCAGACTGCCGGTTGGTCAGCTTGCCTGTGAAGTTGTAGTGCTGCAGGATGATGTTCACATTCCTCATGGCAGCGAGCTGCAGGCAGGAACCTTTCCTGTCGAGCAGGTCAAGTCTGAGCTCAGGATATTGAGCAGAGCCCAGTGGAAGGGGAAGAGAGCGATTTACCCGCCAGTTCAGCTCTAGACCATCCATCTTCTGAGCCTAGGTCGGCAGCCAAGGGATGCACGATGGAGCAATGGTTTGAGGTGGGGTTTGGAGCAGAGCAGACCCTCTGTTTGAGGGCTGGAGACAGCTGTGAGACTCTGCCACACAGGACTGGCTCTGATCCCAGCAGCCCTACCCAGCGTGGAGATGAGAGAGCCCTGTCTGCCAGCCCCGCGGCACTGAAAGAGCAAGGGGAGAGGAGGGTGAGGTGTTTTGTAAGTCCATGTATGAGTATGGGCTTCCTATTGTTTAATAAAGTTTCCTGTTGTGAGCTCGAGTATTGACATCGTTTCTAACAGCTGTCATCATTTCTCAGTATGGGTCTGGCTCTTCTCAGCTTTCCTGTGGTTGTGAAGGTGGGACATGAATGAAATAATGTGTCAGGTCCCTCTTTGAGTCAGGGCAAGCTGGGTCGAATGGGGTAACACCTCCCATCTTGATGGGTAGGGTCTGTTGGGCTGAACAAAGCCAGGAGCTAGTAAGAGCTCCCAGACAGCCTAAGACACTAAGTGCTTTGCCTTTTGTGGCATTAAATTCACCCCGGAGCCTGGCAGAGAGCAACTGCCTCTTCATCAACTGCCCTGTGCACCACCCATGCCCAGATACATCCTGCTCCAGGGGGAAGCTCCAAGCTCTCACCCCTCTGGGCTCTGCTGGGAGCCCAGCTCCTACCAGTCTCAGGACACATCCATCCAAGTCTTGCCCCGTCAATACAGCAAGTCCAGGCACCTCTGTGCCTGAAGCTAGGGCTCAGTTCCACCCAGTTCGAAGCAAACCAGCTTGTCAGAGCCCTGCCTGTGCCCTGACACTGCACCCTCCACCTTCAGCTCTCCAAGCACCCACTAGAGATGGGTCAGGATCTTCCCATCGTCGAGGCCACAGACAGGGAAGCAGAGGCACAAAGCTACTGCCTCTTGCCTGGAACTGCAGAACGCGCGAGGGCCTGCGCTGAGACCAGAGCCAGGAGGCCTGACATGACTGTAATGTTAATGTCTGTCATTGACCTATTCCCTCTGTCTGCAAAACTTGACTGGAGAGAAGGTCTTGCAACGTGCTACTCCCAACCACAGCAGTTGAATTTGCCTTGTGACTCACCTGTCATGACTGGTCTTGCTGCCGGCGGGAGGGTCAGGTTCGACAGCTAGCAATGCTCTCCAGCTGCTTGTCTGAGGCCCAGCACAGAGTAGGTAGTGGGGAGGGCTCCTCGTGCAAAATAAGTGAGGCTTCTACCTACCAAAGTGGAAAAAGGGAAGTTACAACATCAACCACATTTGTGTGCAGGATGGACCCCACCCAAAACAGCTGCGAAGAGGCATAGAGAAAAGAAAGAGCGAGCACCTTTTAACTCGGGATCACAGCAGAAGCTGTGCCCTGCTTTCACCTGTGTTCTCATGCCAGACTGGCACAATGACATGGAGGGGTCCCCAGGTCGAGAGCAAAGAGTGGTGATTTCTTCCATCAGCATGGCAAGCAGGGAGTTGTCCTGGGAGTCAATCCACCGCTTGATGAGTGGTGAGATCCTGGGAGTACATCCACCGCTTGATGAGCAGCAAGACCCTAGCCTGGATCACAGCATAGACAAGTGGAAAATGCAAAGGAGGTTCCTGCTGCAGGAAGTCATGTGCAAGCAAGAGTGGTTCTCATCAAAAGCTGAGGGATCCATCCTCCACATTCACCCTTTCAACTGGTGTTTTGGGCTTTTCTATCGGCAGCGTAGAAAAGAAACTCATGCTGACAAAAGTCAGCAGATGACCCCAAGATTGAAGGAGTAGAAATCAGCAGTAAGGTTGGGCCATGAGTGCAGCTCAGTCCAGAGAACAGGAGTACAAGGTTTCACGTTCAGCACAAAGAGCACATTCCCAAATGGGCTGGGCAGATTGTACCAGCACAGCACTGGAATCAAAAGGGTCGGTGTGATTCTTGCACATCACCCCTGCTTTGTTCTTGCTTCAGGCTGAGCCTCCAGCTAATGTGTCTGCTCAGGACAGAAGGACACCCTGGTGGGGTGTCCTTAAAAGATCAGAGGATGAACCAATTTGCCTTGTCAGGGGCCCTAAGTAGCTGCTCAAATGGCTGGCAGCATGTGAGAGATGTCTGACAGAAACAAGCTCTTTGTCAGGGAGATCTGCCAAGAGTGTGGGGCAGGTGAGAGGAAAATGCTTTTGATGGCAGGAGGGCTTGAGGCAAGTAAGCAGCTGGGACAGCTCAACACACTCATGGGGTGCCAGGTCCTCTGGACCATCAAAAGCCTCTTCATAATGCCCGTTCCACAAGCACATCAGGTGCTGCATAAGAGGCAACTTTTGCCAAGAACTGTTCCAGTAAGACAAAACCTTGTTCCTTGTCTTTGCTAGCACATGGCTTGTTTGGCCTTTCCATATTGGAGGCACTGGGTACCAGTGAGGCACACCGCAGTTTGTTGTGAGGTGAACTGGCTCTGGGGAGCTGCTTGAGCTGTGTGCCAGCCCCTGCTGCAGCCCCCTCTTGCTCCTGCCCCCCAGCAGCCTCCGGAGCTCCCTGCCTCCTGGCGAGTCAGCGCACAGTCCCATAGCCTGGGGGGACTGGGAGGACCTGCGTCCCCTGCACAGCATGCCATCAGCTCAGCAGAGCAGGCCCTCGCTGCCTGGCACAAGTCTGGCCCCGTGTCCCGCTTAGAGCCGCTGCCGCCAGAGCGGAGGCAGGGAGTCCCCAGGTCCATTGCTGGGGGCAAATGAGGCTCGCTCTCAGTGGAGCACCCACACGAGGAGAGTTCCTGTTGTTCTGCAGCCGCTCCCCATTGCTATCTGCACAGACGCAGGCTGAGCTTTATCTTGGTACTTCTCCTTTGCTGCCGTTTCAGTTCAGACGTTCTTTCTTTGAAATGAAGGGGGGCGGGGGAGGGACACCCCATCCTGCAACATTTCTCATCTCTTTCCTTCAGATCAAGACCACAATCTACTTGAAACCGCCCGATAGCTGCTGAGTGCTGGGCTTGGTAGGGCCAGGGGCGGTATGGGGGCCAACTGCAGCCCCCAGAGCCCTCTGCCAGAGCCGTGGCCATAGCAGGTGTTCACAGATGCCAAGATGAGGCACCTTAGCAGCAGAAGCCCTGGAACCCTCCACAGCCTGCTCCTACCAAGGCCAACACAAAGGCAAAACCACCTCAGCCCCAGAGGGAAGAGTTTGCAGACGGGGGCACCCAGAGAGGAGCAGGGCAGAAGCAGCCTGGAGCCGGGCACCCTGGGTTTGTGGCTAGTGGCATGGTCAGTTTGTGGCCCGGTCACTCCTGCCCTGAGACCGCCTGCTCCCGCAAGGGCATCCAGCTCCAGACTGTGAGGGCCATGAGCAGCTGTGGGGAAGACACAGCCAGTTACAAATGCAAGATAAAATATCAATGATTTCTGTTGAGGTTTTCCTGCTGTGCTGCTGCACAGTCCTGATTAAAACTTTTATTTTCAGACATTCTGATTAAAAAAAAAATCCCTGGGTGAAGCTCTGTGGAGAGCTCTGCCTGGTAGGCCTGGTCAGGCAGCCCCCAGTCTGGCTCATGGACAGCTGGCATCCCCATCTCTGTCCCCCAAGGCTCCCCCTCCTCGCCCTCCCCATCCTGTCCCCGCTGTGCGGCCCCAACACAGCTCAACATCAGCCAAGGCAGCCATTTGCCCGCAGGTGTTTTTCTGCTCCAGGAAGGGTGGAGTTGTGTTGGTTTAAAAATGACTGATTGCTCCTGGCAGTTGGTTGGTTGCATTTCCTAGCTTTGCTCTCTTCCACTGTGCAGCAGCAGGCGGTCACCTTTCCAGTGGCACATCCCAATGCGGCAGGATGCTTCTGGTCCCAGAGGAGCTGGGAAGAGCCAGCAGGCCCCCTCTGGCTTGGGCTGACACCAAACACTGGAGACCTGGCCCTTTGCAGCGCTCAAAGAACTGTCCCAGGCACAGTTGTTGTGCCTGGGTGTCAGTTCATTGAAACCAGGTGGTGGTGATGGTGGGTCTCTGTAGGAAAAAGAGTCTCTGCAGTGCATCTCTGGATTTGAAGGAAAACAAGAACATGAAAGTTTCAGGATTGTGTCCTTTAGACCACATTAATGACCTTAAATGGTAAAGTTTTGTTGATTTTTTTTTTTTGAGGTGCCTTTTCTTTGGAAACTTGCATTTCCACAATGCAAAGATGTTAAACAGAAAGCAAACAGCTTTATAAAATGCTCCTCCTCACCCCCCCTAAAAAAGACAATTACTTGGAAGTCATGCCAGTGAAACACAGCATCAGTGGGCCAGCCCAGACCCTGTCTGCCATGGTGTCACATGTTTCCCCCCTTTGTAACAGGTTTGAGGTTTTGACCTTTTAGCTGGTCTGCAGTGAAAACCCTCAGTGCCTGAAGGACGGGAGCTTTGGAGGCGCTTATCCCTCAGCATCCCTCCAGAGTGAGCATGCCACAAATGCACATTCCTGAGTCTTGCTGCTGCTTTACAGTGTGGCGTTTCGTGCAGCTCCTGACAGCCACTGGCAATTGCCAGAGAAGCAATCCCTCCTGTCCCGAGGTCTGGCTTTTGTCCTGGGTAGCTGGAGAAGCTGGACCAGCTCAGTGCCTGGTCTCCAAACGTCATGTCCAGCAACAGCTCTCCTACCATGCCTGGGGCAAGCTCAGCTCTCCCCTAGCATCTTCTGCCCTGTAGCCATGTCTGCAGTGAGCAGGCACCTTGCACAGGAGGGAGGGAGCTGCACAGTGCTCCCGCCACCCCCACTCAGTGTGGCATGGCCAGCCATGGTCAGTGTGGCATCACCAAGGCCATGAGGCTGCTCCAGAAACCTGGCTGGAGCCTCTGGCTTAGGGTCTGCTGTGCAGGACCCATAAAATCCCTCATGTGAGCTCATTAGTGCTGCTCTGCACCCCTGGGGCCAGGCCTAACTCAGCGCCAGCCCTGTCCCCACAGACTCACAGCTGAGAGCTGTTTCCTCCCATGTTCATGCGGCGATGGCAGGGAGGAACCAGTCCTCGCCCAGGAAACAGG